AAATCCCCTCAAAACACTGTTTTCTGAGGTTTGTCTCCTGGACAACTTGCTTATGGACAGGATGAACTTATTCCATATTTCTCGAACCATTCATTATTACGTTATCGTGTTTACAATGAACACCACTTTTTAACAATAAGGAGCTAGTTATTCATTAACTATCGTGGCACGTGAGCTGGAAAAGCTCATTTTTGGCATGCTGTGATTCAAAGTTTTAGCTAGGAATCTCTGAGTGGCGGTCAAGTAACAAATATCGGGCCAAAGGGCTTATTCCCCTAGGGAGTCTGGGGGCATGCCCCCCAGCCCCCAGAAAATTTTGCGAAATTGAAGCCTTTTTGGTGCGTTTTCCATGATTCTCAGCCGACAAATTTAATGTATCGATTGGACTTGAATAATGCATCGCTTACTTTGTCAAAAAACTAAAATAGATTGAAACAGCCTATACTAAACGCATCAGTTGTATTAACACTTCAATGATTGTCTATGATTACCACTTTTGTCCAATTTTTTAGCGCCCACCTTAGGGGAAGTGTTACGGTTCGCCATGGGTGTGCAGATTTGTCGAGGCTTTCAAATCACGGTATGTGCTTACTTTAGTGCAAACGAATCAAGCAGGATGGCTGTTTATCCATAAGGGTTTTTCTGCAAGGGTGTTTAGCTACCAGTGTCCATGATGAGGTTGCTGCTCAAAAAATGTACAAGCCTTGAAAAGGAAAAATGTCCGTTTTCCTAATTGTATAGAAAACCAGGACCAAGAAATTAATCCTGCAGTATAAAGTGGCTGCCAAGGTGCTCTTCAGGCGAGTACAGTTTGTAAGCCCAACAGTGCAATTCATTCTGCAGGAAATTTGTTTTCTTCACTTCTCTGCACAATTTTTTTTCAGTCAACCTCCCTTGCATGATTTTTTTTTGTTTTTTTTTGCCCCACCCCCCCCTCTCAATTACTTTTCTAGTAGTCCGTCCCTTGCACTAGTCTCCTTCACAGTCTCTCCGATCGAAGTCCCCTGAAGCTACCCATCCCCTCGCGTGGGGACAAGGAGCTTTGAGTAACTTCGCCCGACTGGCAGCGGAGACTACAAGGCTACATGTCAACTAAAGTACTGGATCTCGAGTTACAAGCACTTTCCACTTTCACGAGGGTCACGAGGAGCGCGCGGAGAACTCGAGGAGTGTGTTGCTTCAGTCTCCCCATATCACGTGGGTTACGTGTCTAACTCAAACAGCGCGCCCATCATAGGCCCCCCGTTAAATACCCCCGGGAGGGAACTTCAATAGGAAAAGGTTGGGATGCTCGCCATCTCGCTCTTATTTTCGTCAGATTGGTTTCCTTTAGGGGTTTAATTTAAATTTTCCCACGAGCATCCACAATACCCCCTGGGGGAACTTCAATATGAAGAGGTCTGGA